CCCCCCCCCCCCGAACCCGCATCGTCGCATCACTCCCAGACGAGATCGTCGCCACGGATGGATCTCGTCTCCGGGAATCGATCCGAAAATCATTGCTCCTTTATTTCCCGCAGGTAGAAGGAGGACAAGCTGCAAAACCCAAAGGGAGAAAGAGAAGGAGAGAGGAGAAAGAGAAAGAGAAAGAAAGACAGAGAGAGAGAGAGAGAGAGAGAGAGAGAGGGAGAGATCGTGTTCCCGCGAGGAGGTACAGACCCGAGTGATCTCACTCGCAAGGAGTTAGCCGGTTGGGACTAGGTTTGCGCAGGAGGAGAACCAGCGACACCCAAGCGGGAGAGAAAGAGAAGAAAGAGAGAGAGAGAGAGAGAGAGAGAGAAAGAGAGAGAGAGTGAGAGAGAGAGAGAGGAAAAGAGTATCGAGAGAGGGACCCCAAGGAGAGGAAGCTTCTCGTGAAAGAGAGAAAAACGTTCCCCTTGTCGGGCAAGAGGGAAAGAGACGCCTTATAGGCTGTACCAGGTGGAAGGGAGGTGACTTCGAGGCGTTAGCAGGACCGCGAGAGAGGAGGTAGAGGGAAAGGAGACAGAGAGTCGACCAAGAGAAGGAGCGGTGGGAATTTATAAGGATGTTCGCGATAATGCCGATGGAGACAGAGGGGCACGGCAGGGAGTTCGGCCGCCGGCAGAAGATGCGCGCCAAGTGCACGGTAGAGTTCGTCTGCAAGTACTGCCAGCGGCGCTTCACGAAGCCCTACAACCTCATGATCCACGAGCGCAGCCATAAGGACGATGTGACCTTCACCTGTGAGGTCTGCGGAAAGTCCTTCAAGCGGCAGGACAACCTCAAGCAGCACAGGTACATTTTGTCCGGAATATTCTTTTCCAATATATATATATATATATATATACATACATATATGTATATATGTATATACATATATATATATATACATATATATGTATCTACGTGTACGTATCTATACCGTGCACATGTACGTAGGTACATAGATACATGATACGTGTACAGTGATACATATTTATTTTTTTTTTGTCGAGCCTGTTCTAATTCGCCGCTCGGCGACGGGACTGGTTTCAAGGGGCTGATTTTTCGCGACAGACCCAGACATCGATCAGACTCCGGGGGGGATCGGATTTTTTCTTTTTTGTTTTCCATCTGTGTTTAATAGTGCGGTTTCCCTGCGTTGTGTCTTTTCTTCTTCTTCTTCTTCTTCTTCTTCTTCTTCTTCTTCTTCTTCTTCTTCTTCTTCCCTCGTTTCTTTCCCCTCCCCACCCTCCCTCTTTCCCCTGCCACCCTTTTTTTCCTCTTTTCCTCGTTCCTCTCCTTCCTCTCGACGATGATATTTCTCGAGTCGATCGGTCGGTTTTTCACCGGTTGGGGTGGTGCCTCGAGTGACGATTACGAATGAATTATCATATGGAAAGGTCGTGCGCCACGCTCTGTGCCCGTGACACTGACGTGAGGCTGTCCGATGAGCCGCTTCGCGATGAGAGTTTATATGGCGAAGTGAAGTTCGATTGTGATTCCCCGCCGTTTGGAGACGTTTGAAGATGTCTGGCGTCGATTGAGCGATCAGTTTCCCTTGGTGCTGGTTCCATCGTTACACGAACCGTACGCTCGCCGAAGATTGACAGTAGATGAAAGACGTGTCTGTGCCCGATCTGTGTTCCGTCGCGACGTGTTGTGCCGGGGACGGTTTGAACAGTGGCGAGTAAAATTTTTCGAACTTCGAGCACGATGATTCAAATTTCTCGAGGATGATTCCTGAGGAAAAAGTATGCCGGAATCCGTATTCGACGTATTTGTGACGTTTTCCTTTCCGAGAAAGAGTCGTTCGAAACTTTGACAGTTTATAAAGTAGTGTGCATAACGTAGTGTTGACGTTTCTCTTTCTTTTTCTTTTCCTTTTGTGTGAAAATTCTATTTTCTTCTTCGAACTACGAACGTCTTTCCTAATGACTGTCGATAATTTCTAAGTGAAAAATCAATGCGGCGATACAGAAGAAACGAAGGTAAATTTTGTGCAATAATGTAATTTTCAATCGTTTCAAAGTCAAACGATCGAACGAATCAACGATTTTTCTCTTTGAAAATTCTCATTCTCTACCCGTGTACCGTGAAAACATGAATTGCTTACGTTAATAAAAGCAGAAAGACAGTAGTAGTATTTTCAGTGTTTTCAAATTCGATTTCTCAAACGAAAGATATAAATTGAGGGGCAAAAATTCAACGAGTCGAAAATCTTGTTTCCCGAATATCCATTGTGTTCTCGTTCTTCGTTTAGTTTAATACGATACGATGAGAAAAATGTGTCCGTTTGAAATCTATCGATTTGAAACGAACTAGCCGGGCAATATTGTATATTGACCCAGACGAGCAAGAACATAGGGACCACTTCGAAAACCGGTCGGGTCACCGGTACGACCTTTTGTAAGACGAAAAAGGATAATCCAACGAAGACAGTACTTCATTTAGTGAGTCATCCTAAGACATGATTTTTCCACCGACGATTCGTCGTCAATCGTTTCGTCTCGATCGAATCGAACGAAACGAGCGAAACAAAAGAATTGTCGTGGCAATTGTCGATGATCGGTGCACAGACACGTTTAAACTTGTTACTTGTTTCTGTAAATTGAGAAATTTGAGGAAATAGCAGCACTTTCCATGCGACGAGGTTTGCCTTGAGAGATATTTTTAATTTGATCAAATCGATCATTACATATGGGTTCGAAAATTGAAAGGGACGGAATTGGAATACGCGGTTGACAAAAGGGGGAAGAAATGTAAGAGGAATTTTTAAATTAGAGAAAAATATTACGAGAAAGATGGTTATTGCGAAATTCATAAATTAATAGCAATTTGAGAACGTATTAATTTTTTATTAACTAATCTTGCGTTTTGACATAATTTTATTATCTTGATAACAACTTCGTAAAAATAAATAGTTTTAAATGACGAATCGCAAGAATTGAAAAGCGAAAGTTCTGGCTTCGATCGGATAACGCCTTTAATGCCGATCCGTCGCTCGTCGAAATCAACAGTCGAATTGAAATTTGCTATGAAACGTCGATATAATTGAAATACCCATTGACAGTTATTCATACAGATTCAAATTTTTGTATAATTTTGTACTGTTGTTTGAAAGATCCTTTTTATATCATAAATTTCATTATTTTTTATCAAAAACAAATGATTTCTACTTTACAAAAATGAAATTACTTATGCGTTCGATTTTTTTTAATTCACTTTTGAATTATTCTACAGAGAAATAAACGAAAATTTTTTTCACAATTATATTACAAGAAAAAAAAGAGAAAAAAATTTAGTACGTAAAACGTGAGAGTATAGAAAAAAAAGCGAAAAAAATTTGAAATTTCAAGAATGAATATTTAATAAATAATAAAAATATATAATCGTGCCTCTAAAAAAAATTATAAATCAAATTTAATTAATTTCGTAAAAGTTACGTCAAGTTAGTTTACGATGATTTTAGGTAGTTTGATTACAATTTCGTATGATTTATTTACTTTAATTTGACTAAAATGGACTGTATTTCAAATCGCGGATACTTTTCAGAAATTAAACTTGTATTATTCTTCTCTGCCCGGTATAAAATTTAATAATTCGAATGCACGAGCTAGCATAAAATGTATGATATAAAGATGTAATTTAAGCGAAGAAGTTACTGCTTTTACGGAAATACCTGGAGTTAATAAAAACGTCGATATCTCCGACGCTTGACATCGCTTCATTAAAAACGAAATTTACTTATCAGGAACGAGAATGATTTGGCACGTCGTGTACCGGTCTTGCAACTTCGTAAATCTCACTTAACAATTAGTAGCAACCTCTGGTCTAATATAATCCAAACTTACGAAATTAATAGTCAAGGAAAAGAAAAAAAAAAATGACGGTCACGTTTGATATAAAGTTCATAAAATACGAACATTGATACAAAATTTTGACGCAAAATATTTAAAAAGGAAAAAAAGAAGAAAAATATAACAATATAAATTTCATAAATGATCGAAAAAAAAGTAGGAAATTTTAAACGAAATATTCGAAGAAGAATCAGAAACGTGTTTCACAACTTGAATATAATTTCTATATACGAAAAGAGGGGAAAAAAGGATTCACATACATTGTCGCATAAAAAATTTGGAATCGCTCCTCTTTCCTTCTCATTTTACTGTTAATTTTATCATTTCGAAGTTATATGCGCACAAATATCGGTGGATATTAATTTCATTGGATTTTTTTTTTTTTTTTTTTTTATAAAAAAATTTTTTACGAAGTAATGGAAAATTCTAACCTAACTTTTTCTACGAGTTGAACTTTATAGAATGCGTTTGAGATTCCAAATTTCTTGTCGGTAATGTAGATTTCTCTGCAACTTCTCGCCCTTTACGCGACACTTGGAAGATTCGGTCCGACCCATAAATCAGTCTGAAATAATGTTGCCTCTGCATGGAACGTGCGAGTCTACGCGATCGTGCGCGCACGCGCGTTCGAACGAGCGAGCGATAAAATAAATCTTCGATACTGGTGGATACTAATGGATACCTTGTATGTAACGGCGGTGGTCTTGTTTTCTGTTCTGTTGTAGATGTGGGTGGCGGTGAGCGGGAGCTCTGAATCTCCTGCACCTTGACACACACACAATGCACACGCAACAACAATATCAACAACATGATCAACAAAAAAAAAAAAAAAAAATTTCAAACATCTTTCAAAAATCAAAAATCTATAATAACAGAAAAAAATTACAATCCACCTTCTTCTATTGTTTCACATAGATATATATATATATATATAATATTCTATCACTTGATTTTTTTTTTTTTTTTTTTTTTCTATTCTTTTCAATTATTTTTCATTCTCCCGCACTATCTACGTCCCCCGCCTCGATCACACAAGGGCATCGTCCTTGCATCGCGTACCGCCACCACAAAATAAGGAAAGGAAAAAGAAAGGACACAATAACGCCCAAGCATGCTATATAAGGATCTAACCTCTAACAATACCAATCTTCCATTTATTCTTCCGCTGTTTCTGCTATTTTGACGATCCACGATCGCCAAATTTATATACGCCTTCTAATTCTTACTACTAAATTCTTGCTACTAACTCGAGCGCGCACGATAATCCACTTGTTGGCTAAATCGCGAAGCGGTGATTTGTTTTAAAAGGAGATAGGAGGAAAATGAAAGTGAGAGAGGAAACGGATGTTTCCTTGGAGAGTACTTTCCTCATCTTCCGATTTCGACCATCTTTGTTCCAGGAGCATACACTCTGTTCCCTACAAGGGCTCCAACGGCTACTCAAATGGCTATTCGAATGGCTACTCTAGGTACTAGAAGCCATCCAGCCAACTTATTATCCTAAACTTCCCTCGTAGACGCGCGTTTCTCTTTGTTCACTGAATAGGCTAGTTTATTGACAAGCGGTTCGACGAGGTTTTCTTTGGAATTTCGATGGAACCGTTTGCGGTGTACGTATATATACGTATATACACGAGTGCATGAAAACGTTTCCAAGAAAATGATTTTAACTAGGGACGAGAATTCGAGAACATTTGACCAACCTCAATGTCCCATTTCTAAATTTTAACTCGACGATGATTATTGGAATTTTGTTGATGCAAACGTGCGAAGGAGAATGTAACGAAAATGACAAGAAAAAATTAGATAGAGATAGAGATTTTCTTAATCAGAAACTTTATATATCTGTTCTTTCGAGAAAAGAATGGTAAATTAAAGTAGGTTTTCAATTTTTGTTTGAAAAAAATATATAAGTTGCAATATCGTTGGAATTGTTACAAAAATTTTCAATTGTGAAGATATCTAAGAATAAGTTATTCCTCGCACTATTAAAATATTTATAATTAGCGATTTGTATATTCCATAATTGCTCAAATGCTGAATAGTTAACGACTAATAAAAATTTTTTAAAATTAATAGGATAATAGTTTCAAAAGTAATTTTTATAATAATTGTAAAGTTATTATTACTTACCAAGAGCGCTATTAAATTACGTAGGATCTATAGAAAACGGAAAGAATCGAGTAAAAATGAAAAGAAAAGAAGAAAGATTCAATATGATGAGAATAAAAATCAACGTCGAAATTCCGAGAAATTCTCTTGACCCGGCCACGAGTCTAGTTCTTCTCGAAGTCCGTCTGTCGATCTTTCCGAAGATCGGTCGATTAATTAATCAACTCGACATAGGACGTAATAGCATTAGCGAGCCTACTGAGTCGCAAGGGAAACAATTCCGTGGATACTGAATCTCGTCTCCTCGCCTATTTTAAAAACCTCGCTTCTCTCGCTCCTTCGTTCCCGCTTTTTCGACGATATTTTTTTTTTTATTTTTTATTTTTTTTTTTTTCGTATTACATTATTTTTTTTTATTATTATTATTATTATTATTATTATTATTTTCGCTTCTGCCACTTTCCTGTATTCCAAGCCTAGACACCTAGACGTTAGCCACAGCAAGTCATTCTCGCGACATTTCATCGCGACAAAGACATCGAGAGACAGAAAACAAACAGAGGAAGAAATATCACCACAGTCAGAATTTCTCCTCCCCTCCCCCTCCCTGCCACCCTCTCGGAGAAAAGGTGAATTGGTGATGATAGATCATCATCCTCTCCTTCGAGATCGAATCGACCCATCAACGATACCGAAGAAGATCGGGCAGAAGAAGTTTCACGAGAGGCCTCAGAAACTTTTCATTATTATTTTTCCAAGCATTCGAAATTCGAAGAACAACAAACGAACTCGTTTCCACTTCCACACACGGAACTTTAACGGAGCCTCCAACACGTTGGAGATGACGGCCAAGCAGTTGCACAACAAGATCGTGAAAAGGCAGGCCAGGGGGAGGAGGAGAGGGGGGAATCTAACTTCGTTATCAGCGACACGTTCGAAGGCAGCCAACTATGCACCCGACCAGTTCCCGTTATCTCTCTAAATCTCTACCAGGCCGTGGTTCCTGCTTTCTCTTGCGCCAGCTGTAACAACTTAATCGTGGAAAGCCGACGTAATTCAGTTCGAGCATCCATGGGAATAGAGGAACGAGGCCAAGGTCGGAGGATCACACAACTTTCATCACAAACTTCCAACAATATCCCGATATTCTCTCGTTGTCCAACACAGAGAGAACGTATCTTGACACTTGACTCCAACAATCCGGAAGTCCGACATATAACGAAAGTATAAAAGAAGGAAAGAAAGGTTAAACGCTAATTAATTTTCCCTGTAAAGGAATCCCTGTCGAGAGCCATAAATCCGATCCATAAAGCGGCGAGAAACTCGATTTCAATATCAAAGGGGTATCCGAATCGGCGATTTGGCCCGGAAGCGTCTAATTTGAATTCTCAGGATCCTCTGGCGGGGGCCAGGTGCAAACAGGCCGAGAAAGAGAGAGAGGAAAAAGAGGAGGAAAAGGAAAGGAGGAGGATGGATCCGTGTCAACGTTGTTACA